TGGGGTACTGCCCAGTTGGTCCCGTAACGCTGCCCCTCGGGGCTGCGAGACCAACCCGGCAGCACCCCAGCTGCTCTGCTCCCGGCTTCCCCGAATCAGCTGCTGGTCAGTTTCAGCAGCAGCTGAATGGGGGAGCCCTGTCCGGCTGCCCCAGCACTTCCGGGTTCCTGATGGTGCTGGACCATCAGGAGTCCCGGAGCATTGGATGCCGGACTAATGGAGTTTTACTGTAGTAGCTATTTAGATTGATCTGTATTTGAAAATCCTGCTATGTCACTTATCCACCTCCCCACATCATAGCTAGTATCTATTGCCTTGCTAAGATAAACAGGTCTGTGTGCAATTGCTTTAAGAACATGTGCAATCTGATTGTGTGGGTTGCATGAGATTATCTGTTTCTGAGGAGCATTTTTTATTTTTAAATAATTGTTCTACAGCTTAGTTGTAAATAAGTCATAGTTAATGCAGCTCTATCTGTTTACCGAAGATGTCCTGGAATGCCAGACCTGCTTAGAGTAGTCTAGAGGACTGAAACAAATATCACGGATAACTAAAAGTTATTTATTTAGATTCAGTGGTAGGAACTTGACAAGCTAGAGCACTGAATACTGAGTTGATAGTCACTGAACAACTGTGAAATGTATGTAACTATCATAAATTGTATAAGCCTTTGTAAACACAGTGTTTAGAAGGGTGGTGAAGACTGAAAAAGACATGTAAAGAACGCTTTGAATGGCTGTTATGCTTATGAGAGTGCCAAAATTTATTCTGTTGATTTAAAATAAATATTGTTAATTTGAAATCTGTTTAAAAATATAATAAAATAATTTAGGGCTTTTACATTTTTGTGCTTTTACAATTGTATTTCCTTTTTATTGCACAATCTTCTTACTCCTTTTGCAATCTGAAAATCACACAAGAACAGGGGAAGAAAATGATATAGATAGGGTGATTTCTATTTGCAGATTAACAGCAAGAAGAAAGAATCCGCTTGGGAGATGACAAAAAGTCTGTATGATGCATGGTCAGGATGGCTAGTAGTCACACTAACTGGTTTGGCGTCAGGTAAAGAATATAATTTTCTAACTTAGCCAATCTTTTCTAGTCATCTGCAACTTCTAACTAAACTGTTAACGTGAGAAGCCATCCTTCTCTTGTAATTTTTTTAAACTCTTTCTTTTAAGCCGTTTCCTAAAACTAGATAATGCTTGTGTTTCAAGAGCTTGTTTTGACTGGAGTTTTCAGCTTGCACTTATTCCTGTCTTGAAAAACTTGAGATTGAGAGGTTCTGACCATCTATATCTCTCATTAACTCCAGTGGAAGTTCTGGGTGCTCAGGATCAGTCTATGTTTTTTTCTTATTGATTATTTCAAGCAGTGTATTTTAAATGCTTTGATTTATTTGGTGCATCATTTGTGTGTTAATAATATTTTGGTAAGACAAGAATGAACTACATTATCATTGTGGTTGCTGTTACGATTAAGTTGAGCTACATGAATACTTTGGTTCATAAGATAAAATATTTATTTGATCAAAAAAATATGACTATTATGTCCATCTGTTTCTTTGCAACTTCAGTTTTTTTGGACTATTAAATTTTTCTGTGCCTTAAGTCATCACAAATATTTGTTTAATCTGAGAATTTGTAGTTCATCTGATACTGGAGGAAAAGATCGAAATTAGTTTATCCTCATTGTAAACTGGATCTATGTACAAACTCAACTAACAGTATTTTACAGCACATTTTCGATATTTCCATTTTTCCTCATGTTGTCACTTTAGATTTGTCTGCTCTTTGAGGATCTGTCGATGGATGACACTGATTTTCTTGAATTTTTAAAATGTCCAGAAACTGATACGTAACTGTTTGTACAACAGGGGCATTGGCGGGGTTGATAGACATTGCTGCTGATTGGATGACTGACTTAAAGGAAGGCATTTGCCTTAGTGCTTTGTGGTTTAACCATGAACAGTGTTGTTGGGGATCAAATGAAACCACGTTTGAAGAGAGAGACAAATGTCCACAGTGGAAAACATGGGCAGAACTAATAATTGGTCAAGCAGAAGTAAGTATACCCTTTTGGTGAAGGCATTGTTTTGGTGAGAATTAATAGATGGAGAAGAAGGATGGTCTTAAGGTCAGGAACTAAATTGAGACTCTGAAGATCCAGGTTTTTTTATTATCTTTATCAAACACTTTCTTTCTGTGTAAACCTGGGAAAATCATTTAAGCCAGATGTACATAGCAGTCTTGTTGACATAGGTGTGTTGGGTAGAGCTTTGTTTCCCCAGCCCTTTCCTTCCCCCAGCATGGTGCTGACAAAAGCCCCAATGCATTTATACTGGTATAAAAGCACCCTTGCCAGTACATAGTAAAACAGTTCACCCGACCAGAATAAACTATACTAGCAAAGCACTTCTATGACAGTATAACTAGCTACACTGGGTGATTGTTTGCTGATCTAGCTATACCTGAAAAATCTGTTGACTCTAAACAAGGTCACGTGCCCTGATCCTGCAAACTGCTCTATGCAAGTATTCTTCAGTGGGGTGCACATGAGTGTAGGGGTCTTCCTGTGCAGAGCAGCTTAGAGGATCAAGATCTCAAACTCCCTCTACCTCATTTTCCTTATTTATACAATTAGAATAATACTTACTCAACTGACAGGGGAGTTAGGATGATTAATTAATACTTACGAGCTGTTTAGATACTGCAGTGGTAAGCACAATACAAATGTCAGTTTAATGTAATGACTTCAGGGTTTTTCAGACAAAACTACTATTTGCTTGCCCTAGTAACAGTTAGCTTATGTTAGTGTGAGAATATATATCTGAGCTTTTGCAGGAAGAGTATTTTCAGATTACTTTTGTTGAGAAATGTCTAATGCATTTAGTTTATACATTTATCCAATTATATTGTGTTTTTATTTGTTTGCTTTTAGGGTCCAGGTTCATACATTATGAACTACATCATGTACATTTTCTGGGCCTTGAGCTTTGCCTTTCTAGCAGTTTCTTTGGTGAAGATATTTGCTCCCTATGCCTGTGGCTCTGGGATTCCAGAGGTAGGCTCTGAAAACTTTGTATCATAATGAAAGTTTAAGGCTAGTATCAAAGGTCTTGTTGCCTTATCACCCTGGGAAAAGGGGAAGCTTGGGATGAAAACTGTATCTGTGATGCATTATGTTCGGGGCTCGACAAATACACTCGCCTGCAGTGAGTAGATTTTACCAGCTGGCGAGTGCAGGGGCAGACTGTCCCGGTGGGCCATTGTGATGGGCTGGCGGAAGCCCGCACTACGGGCAGCGTGGCCCCATCCAATCCGCCGGCCAGCGGAGCAGCAGAGTGCCACTGGGAAAGGGGAAGTGCGGTGATTCTTGCCACGGGGCTGCCTGCATGCAGCTCCGACGCAAAGAGGCAGGGCGAGATGCCAGGACGCTGGCGTGACCTGGTCCCACTGATTTTAAAGAGCAGATCCCCAACACTTTTTTGTGGGGGAGGGTGGCGAGTCCCCTTTTTGTCTGGCGAGTAGGGTTTTCCCTAATTTGTCGACCCCTGATTATGTTAATATAAAAATTAAAATTGAAATAATATTGACACTATTACACACTGAAGGTTGAACTTCTGTGGTCCAGGATTCTCTGTTCCGGCAATATCTATGATCCATAAGGACCATGGATATTGCTGGACTAGAGATCTCCAGCACAGAGGTTGCCAGCAGCTGAGAGGAGCCGGCAGGAGGTGAGGGGCAGAGTGCACAGCCAGCGGGGCCGGGAACCTGGTGTGGCTGTCGGAACCCACAGGGGCTGCAAGGGGGCAGAGTGCATAGCTGGTGGGGCTGCGAGCACCTGAAGGGCCACCTCCAGAGTTGCCAGTGTAGCCAGAGCTCATGGGGATGTGGCGCCTTCAGGGCTGCTTCAGGCAGGTAGCTGGGGCAGCAGTGGCAGGTAGGTGGGGAGAGGAGCCCAGTAGAGTGGCTGGCAACTCCTGCCCCCAAACCTTCTCTGGTCTGGAAAACTCCCTTGTCCAGGACCGGTCAGGTCCCAAGGGAACCAGACCAGGGAGGTCCAACGTGTACTGAAATAAATATTAAAAGGTTCCAGAATGTTGCCTTAGTTCTCAGGTTTTTTCATCAAGTTCTACTTGGCCTAGTTTTACAGGAAACCTTTGGTTTCTTTTGACAACCTCCAAAGAGTGATCCCCCCATTTGTCAGTTTAGCAATGATAGAATATTAATTGTCACAGCAGAGGTCCTTTGATGCAGTAGTTCATCTTTTGTTGCATGGTCATAATCTTTAGTAACATAAAGTGACATACAGTCATTTCATAAGATTAGTGTTGGATCAAAAATAGTGAAATTTTGTTCTTTTTATAACAGTCTTTGCCCTTCTCACTTCAGAATTTCATCAGTTAAAAATTCAGTTACCCATGATTCTTCTAGTCATTCTAGGAGATTTTGTACTTGTTTGTTTCTACGTGTTCTGTACTTCCTCAAGTAGGTAGCGTTCTGAGGTCCAAAAGCCTCTAAATTTATTCTCTAAACATTTATGTATACAACTTGCGAAATTTTTTTGCAGTCCTCAGTCACATATGTGTTTTTCTTCACTGTGATAGTATTACTGTAGACGGCATAGATTTTTTTTTTTGGTGGAAAGAAATAGAAAAATATAAACTCTTTTATAGTGAAAACAACTGTTTTTCATGATCTGTATATTAAGCCATTGCTCTTAGATATTGTGTGCAGTTATTATAAAACAGGAGGGAGAGAAGGAAGAGTGGTATTGTAAAAACAGTATATTATTGTAATTAAAACATCTGTAAATAATAATCAGATATCCTTGAGTATAATTTCCACAGTGTGTTTGTTTCTGCTGCAGGAATTTTATTGATCTGCATTTGTCAGGTTACATTATGAAACTCTTTTAATTAATGCAGTCTTATAATTAGCTGCTGGTATGTTTTCTGTTCATGATAATGA